CTTATAGTATGCAGATAAAGAAAAAAATGCGAAAACCGTAAATTTTTAGTTACATCATAAAAAAAAATATTTTTGAAAATTTTAAAGTAACTACTTCTTTTCTCATGCACGCGTAGAGGTATTTAACGAACGAACGAACGAATATTAAATGAGTTTGTACGGAACCCTCGGTGCGCGAGTCCGACTCGCACTTGGCCGGTTTTTTCAATTTGACGACTCTATATAAGTAGTCTGGCCATAAATACTGTTACATAAAAACTTTTCTCATTATCAAATTATAATATGGAATAAGGTGTTGCAGAAAATAGGATTGTAGTGATCGCCTTGCACAAAGAGGGCATGCAGCCGTCAGTCATATTCCAGACAGTTCAAAATGTTCGTATATCGCACTATCAACACTTCGTCTGTCGAAGATCAGAAACGATCGGGGCGGCCGCGTGCTGTTAGAACTGCAAAGGTAGTTAATGTTGTTAAAGCCAGAATTCGTCGAAACCCCAGTGGGAAGAAGTCTTGTCGCTAGAAATGATGACCTGATGCTCGGTGTTTATCGTCGATATATACAGGACATGCCCTAAAAAATCAATTTTTACAATTTAAGTGAGTGGATCGATCAAAACGCCTTCTGTCGCGATACGCAGATGGAAAGCACAGAAATATCCTCTTTACCGATGAAAAAAAATTCAGGATTGCAGAATACTACAATAAGAAAAATGATAAAGTGTATGCTCACAGTTCTAAAGAAGCTGCTCAAGTGGTCGGAAAGATACAACGTGGTCATCATCCTGCTTCATTAATGGTTTGGTGGGGCGTTATTTAGCAAGGAGTTACAAAACCACATTTTTGTGAAAAAGGAGTGAAAAATTCAGCCAAGGTGTATCAAGATACAGTCTTGGATCCTGTTGTGAAACCTCTCAGCTATATACTTTAAAATATACCGTGGATTTTCCAGCAGGATTCTGCACCAGTTCACAAGGCACGGACTACACAAGCCTGGCTTGAAACCAACGTTCCGGACTTTTTAACAGCTGAAGACTGGCCCTCGTCTAGCCCAGATCTCATCCCTTTAGACTTCAAATTATGGTCAGTTTTAGAGGACATGGCCTGCTCTAAACGACACGTCGACATCGACGACAGTCTCTTAAAAAATCTTTGGAGCAAGCAGTGGTGAAATTTCCCTTGGAAACAGTGCGTAAATCCATAGATTCGTGACCAAACATATTAAAGGTTTATATAAAAGCCAAATGTGGCCATTTCGAATAAAATATTTTTTAATTTTTTGCTGAGACTTTAATATCTAACTATATATAAAACTCAAAGGTGATAGACTGACATAGTGATCTATCAACGCACAGCCCAAACCACTGGACGGATCGAGCTGAAATTTGGCATGCAGGTAGATGTTATGAAGTAGGCATCCGCAAAGAAAGGATTTTGATCAATTCTACCCCCAAGAGGATAAATTAGGGAATGAAAGTTTGTATGAAACTTTGTCAATTTTAAACCGATCTGGCTGAGACTTTGCATGCAGGTATAAGAAGAATCATAGATGAATGTCATTGTGTATAATATAAGCATAAGAACAAAAACTGTAGTCTACACTTCAGCTCTACACCGAAGTGAAGCGAGGGCGGGCCGCTAGTGTAGGTATAAATTTTAATAATATTACATTATTTCATTAAAAAAAATGCATTTTCACTTGTAATAGAACTTATGGCTGGACCTAGGTATTAATAATACAGCAGCCCTTGCGTTCTCCCTTATTGCGCTTTGTTGAATTTCTTGCCGGTTCTTCTCAGTAAAAAAGTCTTCCGCCGTAGATTTGCGAACCAATGACGTAGCTTTTCGACAGTAACAAGTGATTGTAACAGCCTAGATTAAATAAACGATATTGTATTTCGTATTTTTGAATTTTGAATCAGGAGTTTCCACCACCTCATGAAACATTTTAACATTTTGGGACAAAAGGAAATTTTAAAGTATTATAATGATTGATAATGTTAGTTAGTGGCCAAATATCTACTTCCCTTTTTTAGATAAATTATTGAACATAGATATTTTATTCTTATTAATTAATTAAATTATATATTATTTTCAATATAGGTATGTCAAAACATTTACTTCGTTTTGGTCTACGCGACGCGATTGTCCTACAATGCGAAGAAACGTCCCCACCCCCCAGCAGATTTGAAACAAGTGTCTTTCGAAGCTTCTAGATGAATAGATAATTTCTTACTATGGCGACATACTTCAAATATATGGGGTTTAGGTTTTATAAATATTAGAAGTGCTCTACAGTTTCACCTGCGTTAAAATACTAAGTTACAGTGGGTAATTAAATAGGTTATAGTGGGCCACCCTTAAAAGATAGACGTATGCTGTCGTATATTAAATATATATATAATAGAACTTTTAAAGGTGAACAATCCGTCATACATGCTATTTATGTAACTTTTACCGTTTAGACAGCGCACGCAACGAAAGCTCTCAAATATAATGTTTTTTCCCGTTTTTGCAACAGTTTTCATTGTTGCTCCGCCGCTCTAATGAAATAATAAAATCGTAATAAAAAAACATGTAATGACGAATTCAGAACCTCCTCTTTTTTACCCGGCTGCGCAATGCAAGAGCGCGAAGCGCGACGCGCAGGCAGGGTTATGTGTTTAACAGTCTATATATGTATGTTTGTTCCTTTGTGGCACACTAGAGACCAAACGCCTGAACCGATTTTGATGATTCATACATCAATCGATTCGCCTCAATTATGGGAGTGCTACTAAAGATATGATAGTAATTAAAATTCAATATGGGCAAAATTGGGCGCCATATTGTGACGAAGTAAAAAAAATAAGTTGACAAAATATGTCGAGTGGAGTATCACTGTCTAGATAATCAAAAATCATATTTAGGTTCCTAACACCATTTTTCATTTAATATGATTGTTTAGGATCTACAACGCTTTAAAGTTGTATATTAACCACTTATGCTTTTAATTTCAATCTTACGTTTGTATGGATCTCTGTTACTCTTTCACCTAAAAAATACTGAATGGATTTTACATGTAACTGCTTGATGTTTAAATCTAAAGAAAATATAACTAGAATTATGCTACCACAGCCCTCACGGACCGCGTCGAAATTCTTCTAGCTTTTTTTCTAGTTATATTTTCTTTAGATTTAAACATCAAGCAGTTACATGCTTTAAAATAATAAAATTATAACTATAATTGCTATTTCTTCTTTCAAATGTTTAATACTTGTAAAAGTATTCATTTGACATTGTGGGTTATCTATAATGCGAAGATATAGCGCTGCCTTGCAGCTTAAGAATGGCTAGAAGAATTTCGACGCGGTCCGTGAGGGCCGCGGTAGCATAATTAGTCAGTGCATTCGCCCGGATTGCGAAGGGTGCGGGTTCGAGTCCCGTCTGCTGCCTGGTCCGCGTGGATTTTTTTCTAGTTATATTTTCTTTAAAAGTAAATGAATTTTATATTTACTGCTAAACTATTAAAAAAAACATAAACAAAAGATGACTTTTTGAGTAAGTGCTAGTTTTAAAGTTTTAAATTTACATAAATTTTATAGTAAACTAGCACTTACTCAAAAAGTGATTAGATATTTTTAAGTAACGACTTGATTTAACTTCACACATTTTTGCGAAAATTTATTGTAGCCTTGACCTCGCTGGTAAAGTCTCTATATGTCTTAATAAATCAATCTTTTAGACCGACGCAAGGTACTTAATAATTCCCGCGATATTAATTCCCTTACTGAAGTAACAAGACTACGGTATATACCGTACTACCGTCTTAAAATACTAACTAAAAAGTGTGAAATAAAAAAGATAATTTTTAAAAATCAAAAAACCCGACTGCTTAATTATACTTCAAATAAAAACTGAAAAGAAAAAAACAAGTCCAGTAGTCTATAATTCTGTTAATAAGGAACAAAGCTACTTTAACAGTCGGGACCCATTAGATATTCAAGAATACATAATATTTTTCAACAGTGGGTATAGTTTAGATATTCAAGAATACATAATATTTTTCAACAGTGGGTCCCGACTGTTAAAGTAGCTTTGTTCCTTATTAACAGAATTATAGACTACTGGACTTGTTTTTTTCTTTTCAGTTTTTATTTGAAGTATAATTAAGCAGTCGGGTTTTTTGATTTTTTAAATTTATTAAAATCGGTTATAAACGAACATTTAGTGAAACCTTGTATTTGTAAGTCAATAATTTTTCAGTACGAGACCATTTTTTTAGGAATAATATATTTTTGTATGAAAATAAACACATTTTTGGAGAAAAGTTTTTTTATTAATTATATTTAAACCCCATCGATTTCCCTACTTAAACAAGTGTTTTGACTCTTTTAAGTACGAATGAACAAATCCACACGTATCCCGTGTCTGTTGCAGGGTAGGGACAGGGTTCATACAAATTCCCCTTGGACCTTTGTCATTTTATCATACTGGACAAAAAAAAATTAGTCAGTGATTGCAAGAAGTTGTTTCCTTTTTTCTAAGTTGTTTAATTAAAGCTGACTGTTCAATTATCTAAAAGAAAATACAAAAGATTGAACTATTTTATTCTGTTCTTAGTAAATAAATATAAAATAAACTGTCAAAATATATTTTGTTTTAATCTTAAAGCTCAGTAATTAATTACTGAATTAACAAAAGAGAGTTACAATCGTCTTAAATAAGAAAAAAACAAAATTCTCGTATCTTTTTCCATTCACGTTCTCAAAAGAAAGAAAGCTAGTTGTCTTAGTTTCTGTCTTTTGCTATAGAATGTGAATGAATGAGGATTCATTGTTTCTACAGTGATTTCTGCAACATTTGTATAAGCCTCTGGAGACCGGGCTGGGAGCCCTTTGTGCATCCTTCGGGTGACCGCACATGCGGCGGTCGTCTGAGACAAAGCGCGGCCTTTCAGACCCGCTAACAAAAAACGCAGCTTATGGGGCCACGCTCCTACTCCGGCACTCATCAAAGACTAGCAACAGAGCAGAGCATCAGAATTAAATAGGTAACTAATGCTTAACACCAGCCCTCGCTTTCGATGAAAAAAGATATTAATTAACGCATACATTTTATTGATCATAAAAAATAGTTATAGAAATTATAAAATAAATACAATTGCTAACTTAACGTAACCTTTAGGTGACCAGTTTTATTTAGAAGGTGATTTTTTATATATATTGTTTTAAGGATCATTTTAATATTTTCAAATTCTTTTATTGGATAATTGTGTCGATTTAGGAAAGATTCTGTAAACTTAAAACTTTTAAAATCAGTCTCTCCTTTTAATTCTCTATAGAGAATGACAAGGATAAGTTTAGGTTTAGATAATCAAGCCGGAATCTACAGCAATATAATTAGTTCGTTAAGAATTTTATAGAATTAATGATGATATTTTTGATACTCTATATTTATCTATTCATTATGCACTTTCAAAAATTTTGAAATAAATATGTTTATTATGTAGATGTATATTCATCATAATACTTTCATTATTTTTAATCTTTTTCATTTGAAAACCATTTATTATTTATGATTAATTATCTTCCTTGCCATTGAATTTTCAAATGTATGTATTGTATGTAATGACAATTATTGTTATATTTTGTACGTATTTTTTCATTATTAATTTGAAGTACTTAAAATAAATAAGTATCTTGTAAGTTCTTCGTAATAGCTTTAAAAAAAAGAAAATAAATATTTGTTACGTAATTACCTACCTAATATTACCTACTTTTTTTTACCAAAAAAAACAAGCCACACATCAATTTGGTTTGATTCTATAATTCAGTGTAACGCTCTCACGCTGTTCCTCAGAATAGAATACGAAAAAAATTTTTTTCTTTAATTTACTATTGCCTTGGTTAAAATGAAATGCTTATTGCGTCGGTTAACATAGTAATAGACCGCAACATAGAGACTTTTATTTCAAACTTAGAGCTTTTAGCAAACATCTCTGAGGTTTGAGTATGCGCGTGCGCTGCCTACGTGCCTAATCTTTGGCGATGTTGTGAAAGAGAGCGAGCGTCAGTGCTCGGTCGACAGGCAAGCGCTCACGACGCTTCGCCGCTCACGATGACGCGCTGTGTGACCGCCCTCTGTCTACTCGGCACGCTGCTCACCGCGGCATCACAGAACTACCAGCAGACCAGGATCGGCTCCAAGCCGCCCTCCTGCTACAATAATGGACAGCCACAGGTATAAACTCTAATCGACACACCGAGATACGGCACGCCGCTAGCAAAAGTTTTGTTGGACAACATTCGAGTGCCTTTACGGACATTTCTCTCACAAAAACTTTCTGTGTTGGCGCGCGGCTTTGCTTGCCGTTATCGTTTGCGTTTCCAATCAATGTGTCAATTAAACTTTTTACATTTACATACGTATTAACGCTAAGCGGAGACCACTCGCTGTTAATAATTCACAAAATGTTGAGACAGACATTGTTATTGTTTTGTTGGTTTATGACCAATTGCAACATGCAAATGATTTATGAATGAGAACGAAACATGGCTGAGCAAGACGAGTGTCTGTTATTACGTTTGCTGAGCGCCCATCAAATTAGGGTCGGTCACTTTAAGCTTTTGGCAGATCGTAAGGTTATCAGTGTACCAAGAGTCCGTAATGAGTTCGTTTACTCCCATCCTAATGCCTCTTATCAGAGCCGAACGGAACTAAGTTATCTTGCATCCGTCGATATAAACCGTTTTTGTTATAATAATTCTCAATTGTTGTTGAGTAACTTATGTGTAACACTTAGCGACCGACTATTTTCAAATATTGAATTTCGCTGATTCTTCATTTTGCTGCCTACTGAGTATTTTTGAAAGTGAGCCAGTATACAAAACTCTTTGTCATTCATCCATATTGGTATTATAAATACAAAAGTGTGTCTGTCTGTAATCTCTTTAGTTTCATATAAACATTTTGTGGTTGCATCAAAATGTAGAGTCGTAAATTGCAAATTGAACACTGGAGTGCTCCCAATATTGTCGTCAGTTACGCAGTCGAATTAAATCATTATACGTGCATACTAATTCAAATGATGATGATACGCTTCATTATGTTAATGATGATAACATATAACCCCCACCCGCTCTTCACCTATCCTATATCCTTTCCCAGGACGAAACTATCTCTTACCAAAGGAGATTGCTCAAATTGGCTCAAATGCACAAAAAATATTGACATATACGATAATTCTTGGCGTAATTTATACTTTATTTCACAGTCATTAGATTTTAATGGACACCTTTGTATAATATATTCATTTTAAAAAGTACTTTTAATTTTACCGGCTTGGAAAACATACGAATCATTTTTAATGGCTATGGGTGTAGTAACATTCAGCCAAAGACTGATCGAAGTTGTTTGTATAACATCAAAACAAATCTATTTTGTAAAGATCGATAAAATAAAACATTATTTTTATTACACTGTGGTATTAATATCCACAACTATATTATCATTTTCACTACATGCAAATGTGCTAAGACAATTATTATAGATGATAGGCGACATCATAAAGTCTATTACCATACATTTTTCGCTAAACACATTATAAGATGTGATACACTCAAAATCTAACATATGGTTACAATATAAACATAAGAAAAATAATGAAGCTACTGAAGATATGGCTGTATAACCTAGATCTAGCTTTCTTTGATTAACGAGAGTTTAAAAATTCTCTGTGATTACACAGATTTGTGGTTCATTTACTTTAATCATCACACAGTTTCTCTCACAGAGTACCTTATTTTAACCGGAAATGCATAGATGATACCTGATTTTAAAAGTTACTCTTGTGCATTAACTTCAAAAACAGGCAACTATCTGTTAATCTACAGGCTCTTTATACCTGAATCTATATAATTTCGGTACTTGGCTTGATTTCCCTAGTTTACTATATAACCTATTTGTTTCTAATTATTTTAGTACCTATGCACCTATTTGGAAACATAACCTCAAAATCGTTCAGTGTATATGGTTTATAGAAGTTCTCAGGGGTGTCCGTCAATAAAATTCGTTTCTACAGTAATTTATACATAATTTCGAATCTAGGAAACAAGTTTTCATGATTATTGGTCTTTAGGCCAAACATGTATAAAAGCTGAGCAATCTCCTTTCATTCAAATCTGTCCATCGATTTAAACGTGGAGAGGTAACAGAAATGCACTATTATTATAATATATATATATATAATATTAGTAGCGATGGAAGTATGGATATATGAATGTATTCTTGTTTTAATGAATATCAAAAGAATTGTATCAATAGGGAAGATGGTTGGTATATACCACCAGCTTGGGAACCTATTATACAGGAGATAAAATCCCAACCTCGAGCACACACTGCAAGACCAACAGATACTATTAGTTCTTTTTGTTTCCATAATTTAACATAAGAAGGAGATAGAAAGCCTCTCTTGAGTTTGTTTCGCCGGTTCTTCTCAGGAAGGTCTCCCAATTTTGGAACCGGTGGTAGTTTACGGTAGTTAGGGTCAAATAAATAAACTCAAAATTACAAAAAGAATTTTATATAAAGTACTTTATTAACTAAATTAAGTAATAAATTCATACATAGACAATAAAAATTTTAAAAATCGAACAATGAAATAACCGAACGCTCAATAAAAAGTCTTTCGAAGGTAGCTCGACAAAATTAAATAAAATTTGATTCTGACGACGTAGCCTGTAAAGGCTACGAAACGTCAATAAATAAATAAAGTTTCGTGCATTAACCCGTAAAAAAACTAGTTTTATCAAAAGAATGCTTTCATCAAGATACTTGTAATCGTATTAAGACTTCATCTACAATAGTGTTGTTCTTAATCTGGCTAATCGACATTATAGCGGTACCTACTTACATAAGCTACACTAAGCTATATAACTTAACCTATATCTAACATTCCACGGTGTTTGTGTGAAGTTTCATCCTATCCTACCAATATTATAAATGTGACAGTTTGTATGTTTGTTACTCAATTACGTAAAAATGGCTGAATGGAATGTAAGGTTCCTGAGGGATTTTCACAAACTAATGTTTACACTAAAGCGGCCGAAGTCATGGGCGGTCGCTATTAGTGAATTTAGTTCACTGTACATATAGGCAAGTTAATGTTATGTTTCTGAGGATACGATGCGAAAATTAGGGAGCGTCGCCTATAGTTCTATAGGTACTAATGTTATAAAGAGGAAAGATTTATTTGTTTGTTTGTTTGTATAGAATAGGCTCCGAAACATCCGAACCGATTTGAAAAATTCTTTCACATTTAGAATCCTTCATTATCCTTGATGAATATAGGTTTATAGAGTATTTCAAAAGCTTATGGTTCCGTATGAAAACTTCGATAATGTACCCAGGGTGTGAAAAAAATACCAAAAAATTACCTTATATCGCTAAACGCTGCGGAAATCATTGATAATAGAGCAAAGTGATGTACTAAAGTTTTATAGAGGACATAAATATCTACAAAAAGTCTTCGATATCATATGTCTAACTATTACCACGGTAATAATAAATATTACCGTGCTATTACAGTTATGTCACAACTAAAGGTCCCTTGCGGTTTCACCCGCGTTAATTTTAGAAAAAGGTTATAGTGAGTCAAACTTAAAAGATGGGCATATTCTGTCGTGAACTTCTTTATAGGACTTTAATATATTAAGCCTTTCTTAATAAATGCACTATCTAACATAAATGATTTTTTCAAATCGGACCATTATTAGGTAGCGGGATTTGCGCGTTCTACTAAAAAAATAGTGCATTCAGTACAACTTAACGGGTCCTAAACTACGAAACAAAATTTTCACTATCAGTTAAATAAATTTTCATGGAAGATTTATAATTATATAAAGAAATTCATTGTATATAATACAAGCCTGAGAACAAAAACTATAGTCTACACTACAGCTCTGCACCGAAGCGAAGCGAGAGCGGGTTGCTAGTAATGAAATAAAGGTATTGACTTTAAAAAGTACTTTATTATTTCAATAATGTTACAAGTTACAGTTTTAAAATAGTTACAAGTTACTGTTATCAAATAATGTTACAAGTTACAGTTTTAAAAAAGAAATATCTTAAAATAATAATACTTTTCGTTTACTTAAATACGTTAATTGAATCTAATGCTTGTCAAATTATAGACTAATTGAAGTTAAAATCTTACTAACAATACATTCCTTAAAAACACTGGCAGCACTTTAATTCCACGAATCAGAATTGCTCAATGTGTAATTTTTTGCTTATTCTTCGTTTATTAATAAGGGGGGTTACCTCCTTATTAATTAATGAAGATTAAACTTGGATAAGCTATCCGCGTTTTGTCTCTGTTCATTGAATGACGAAAGGTTTTTTAGTGATAAGATTAAAAAAAACAATCATTCATTAATTTCATTAGTGATATAGACAAAATACGGCGTAACTAGTCTTAGTTTATTTCTCGTTTATTTATAACGGGGTTAAAAAAATCCAATTCAGCAAACTTATACTACCTTTCGTTAGCGTTTAGGATAAGTAGGATGGCTTTAAATCGTCTTAACGACATCGTTGGTAAAGTTGTATTCACATCGGTTTCCCAGAAATCGCGTCCTCTGTGGTTCTGGGTTCGAATCCTGGTGGGGGAAAATGTATGTATGATAAAAACGAGCATTTACCTACTTAAGTGATAGCTATCACATGTATAGAAAAAGAAAAAAAAAAACTTATTTATGTATCGTTATTATATCTCTATCCTTTACATGGGTCTGGTCATGTGGATGGATAGGGTTCATCAAAATACTCAGAATAAGAACTGCCTTGCCATCAAATTTTCAAGTTTTGTCGAATCATACAATCACACAGTTTTCTTATAATCGATTGTGTTCCATCACGTTGTGTGTTTTTGATTTCGAGGCATTAATCGCCACCTAACTTAACTTCAATTTTAAATAATGCAGTGGTGGTAATGGTAGCTAGACACTAAGTATCAAGAAGAGATTTCAAAAGGCATTCAGATAGTTGGTGGTTACGCTTTTGTTTGTTACACAATGAATACCTATAGGGTACAAACGACGAGATCCTTAAGTCATCAACATTTGTCTTCTTAGCCGCTAAAATGCTTGGTTCGCTCAGTTTTTTTTTTAATTTTGTCAAAGAGGTCACTTTCGTAGAGACGAAATTACAATTTGGAGGAAATTAAAGCTATTCATTGGACA